CGCTACAGGACGCATGCGCTCGCCAGCCAGACAGAGACATAGAGACAGAAAGCGAGAAATCACCCCCCAGGGGGGATGGTCACGCCGCAATCCCTTCTCCTCCATTCTCCTCTCAGAATCTTGGGCATGCACGCACACGCGCCTGACGTGTTTTAAGCCACCGGGTCCAGGACATGAACCGCGGTCGACTACGTGGGAGTCCAGTGACATAGCCATTACTCTAACTGCTGGTTCCCCAGTTTTCTCTCTTGCTAGCCTTTAATTACAGGACATTCTTAGAGTTCTGACATTGGCCCACTTCTTTTCCTTCCATGCATATTCTCCAGAAACAGACTCACTGATTCCTGTGGTCTTAGCATGTACGGCTTCTCCCGATACCTTCAAATCTATCTCTCTCAACTGTATCAGTCTTCTGCTGTCTTAGTCCATTACTACATTGCTAACAAAATACCCAAGGCTGGGTGAATTTATAAAAGTAGAAGTTTAATGACTCACAGGTCTAGAAAGTCGAACAGCATCACAAAATCACAGAAGGCAGAGTTTTGAGCAAAGCAAAACATGGCCTGTGTTCATGTGGCCTTCTCTCTACTATTCTGGTCTCATTCTCTGCGCTTATAAACCCACCATAATTCAGTCATGGAGACTCTGCCTAACCACCCAAGCACTAATCTCCTCCAAAAGGTCCTATCTTTTGGCATCATAACTCAGTAGGTTTCCACCCTCTTAATCCTATTACAATGGCTGAACAGATGAATTTTAGGGGGGGCGAGTATTCAAACTATAGCACCTGTCCTATCTAGACCCATATATACAACTACTGGATAGGATCTCCACTTGGTTCTCTAATAGACGATTCAAAAAAAGTCTTCTATAACAGAACTCACCAGTTGGTCCCCTAAGCCAGCTATTCTCTCATGTACTATCTCTCAGATGGTAGCACAACCATATACCCAGCTAGAAAACTAGGCTTCTACTTCCTCTTTCTCAATGTCCCCCACCATTCCAAATCTATCACCATGACTTGCCAATCTTACATTATAAGTAATTCCTTTTTTTTTCCTATATCTGCTATTACTAACCTAGCTCAAACTCTCTTAAGACTCAGTTCAAGTATCATTGCCTTTAGCAAGACAGACTGTTCTTGTCTGTCTTCATATTCTCTTAATTTAGCATTAGGTCTAATACTGTAGGTAACAGATGATGATAATGATGATAGTTATTATTTCCTTATCACATACTATGTACCAGGCAGGCACTGACTCAGCACGTCACATCTCCACAATCACCTTTAGGGTTCAGTATTATCCATTATGCATAATCTTGTTACCCATATTTACAGATGATGCATAGAAAGTTTAAGTGCTCAAAGTTACACAGTTCTATCAAGAGATAAGTTGTTGAACTTATCTGGTATTCAATTAAAACATATATATAAGATAAAATATTGAAACATTTATTCATTCAATAAATACTGAGTGCAAGCTATGTGCTAAACACTGTGGATACAATGAAGAACAAAGAAATTAAACAAGTAAATAAATTAATGTCAGACATGGGTGAAAACCTAGCATCTCTCAGGAAGCCCACTGAAGCCACTTCTCAGGATACTTGGGGGAAGGGACCTTGGCAGGAAGAAGAGATTCTTCCTCACACCCCCTGGCTCTAGGAGATTATTCCTGGACAGTACTCTGACATTAGTCAGATACTAAAGACATCCTAAAATTTGTAGCATGTGAGTCCTCTGTCAGTCTAAGAAAAGTCCACTTAGGTTTTCCAAGATAATGCCTTTCTTTGTCCTTTATAAATGTCAAGAAACCACATGACCACATGCAAGCTGACAGTAATTAAAAGAAGACACAGTCCTCATCTCTGCAACAACTCTTTTTTAAATATTTATCCAAGATGAGAGGACATTTCTGTCCATCATCTGCTCTACTCTTGTTATTTCTCCCCAACTGCAGGAACTTTCAGATGTGGTCTGAGAAGAAATCTACACCTACTCAGTGGGCACAGGGACAGATTTTTCTGGTAGGTGCCACCCATCTTTCATCTCCACATTTGAAATTCTTACGACTACCCTAGAAGTGAAAGGCCCATACGGTTGAAAAGGACCCAGGGAAACCAGCAGTGGAACAAGGATGTATACAAAGGTTATCTTGGTAATCCCAAAAAACAGACAGTAGGTTTTTC